TGAGCGTGACTCCCACGGGTGAACATGAATTCTGAATGGGAAAGGGCAGGTGTGCCTGGGGGTGCACAGGTGGGCACCCCGCCACTGCCATACATTCTCATCCTCTCACAGAAGCTTCCAGACTCCCTGTTGGTCTCCCAGGCTCAGCACCAGCCCAGGCTGCCAGGCCTGAGTCTCCTGCTTTTCCTCTCCTGCTGGGAAGCTGAGCCATTAGCAAGAAGCAGTAGATCCCAAGGGGCAGCTCCCTCAGCCTTCCAGCCACCCCCAAATCACCTCCAAACTCTAAACCAACATCCGTCTTCCTATGCCCTATTATCTCAGGATCGTGCCTTTAGAGGCTGATCATCTAAAGGGGCCAAGGAACTCAGACCAGAACGCTGCCTCTTCTGGGCACTCAGAGCTTGGGATGTCTCTGCTGGGTTGAGTCCCTTCACCCACCATCAGGGCCGAGGAAGTCCAGGAGGCTTGGAGGCTCCTGGATTGTGAGGGGGCTCCTCCTGCTGGGGGTTATGAAGTTTTCAGGCCATTGCTGTTCTAGCCTAACTCTCCTCCAGCTGGGGGAGAGCCAACCCAGGAAGCCATAGAGAGAGACTCCCATCTTCCAACCCTCAGGCCTGGCACAGGTGAATTTCCAGAGTGAGCCCAGTGCATTCTATGGTCCTATAAGGCTGCCATTGCCCTCACTACCTCACCCTGGCTCACAGGCTAGCAGCCCCTGTGCAAGCCGGGAGGGAGTGGCCAGAGCACTGGACTAGGAGTCCAGGCATCCCCTTTCTCCTGTGCCAACAAGGGGCCAAAGGATGCAGGGAAGAGACCAGATCTGCAATGGTGGGGACAGGAGCCGGCACCCTCAGGGCAGCTCAGGAAAACTCCAGTCCCAGGTAAAATAAATCTCCTGTCAGGCCAGGTGCAGTGGTTCATGCCTATAGTCCCAGCACTTTGGGAGACTGAGGCAGGTGAATCACCTGAGGTCAGGAGATCGAGACCAACCTGGGCAATGTGGTGAAACCCAATCTCCACTAAAAATACAAAAATTAGCTGGGTGTGGTGGCAGGCGCCTGGAGTCCCAGCTGCTTTGGAGGCTGAGCCATGAGAATTGCTTGAACCCGGGAGGTGGAGGTTGCAGTGAGCCGAGATTGCGCCATTGCACTCCAGCCTGGGCAACAGAGCGAGACTCCATCTCAAAAAAGAAAAAAAAAAATGTCCTGTCCCACATTCTGAGTTTCATCTGGGCCCCCAGAGGCTGAGGAGGATTTGGGGGCCTCCACTCCTCTCATACAAACTTCTCTTCTCAAGAGTCCCCTCAAGATCTATTTTCAGGATCAATGGGAGATGGAGCCCTACCCTAGCAGAGAGCCAGAAAACTCAGCTGGAGGAAGGCCCAAGGCAAAACCCGGGCAACAGAAGTAAGTGTGGAGGGGAGGGGAGGGGACTCAGAAGGCTCTTAGTCTGGGCTGACATAACCTGTCTGGCCTTGGACAAAAAAGGCTCATCTGTCATCAGTATTTCCAGCCATCTTCCCAGTGTCTAGCCCTGGCCAGTGCCAACCAGAGCTCAGTCCTAACCCCCAAAACTGAACTATGGGTCCAGATATGAAACGTGTAGAAAAGGCCACAAACTCACCATCCCTCCCCACATGCAAACAGACTTGTACAGAGAAGGTCACAGCCCTGGCACAGGCAGACCCGGCATAGTTCTGCTAACGGTGGTTCCATTTTTTATAAGGAAGAATGGGTCCGTGTATCACAGTCGCTAAATCCTGATTTCAGCAAGGCATTTGTTCAAATGCAGACAAGACAGAGAAATGTGGGCTGTGTGATACATCCAGGTGACCTCGAAGTGTCTGGCCCCCAGTGCCATGTGTGGTGTTGCCAGGCTGTCTCTTTGGCCGGGCTCTTTTCAATTTATCATTTCCTTGGATAAAGAAATTATGCTCAGGGAAGCTCTAAAAGTGAGAGACAGAGAGAGTTGAAGCTGGGCGCGGTGGCTCATGCCTGTAATCTCAGCACTTTGGGAGTCCAAAGCGGGAGGATCACCGGAGGTCAGGAGTTTGAGACCAACCTGACCAACATGGTGAAACCCCCGTCTCTACTAAAAATACAAAAATTAGCCGGGCATGGTGGTAGGCGCCTGTAATCCCAGCTACTAGGGAGGCTGAAGCAGGAGAATCCCTTGAACCCGGGAGGCGGAGGTTGCAGTGAGCTGAGAGCCAAGATCACGCCACTGCACTCCAGCCTGGGCAACAGAGTGAGACCCTGTCTTCAAAAAAAAAAAAAAAGGAATTGTGAGGGACTAGGAATGTTCTGTAGAGTTAAAACAGAAATCAAAAAAAGTCTGTAAAAGGTGGAAGGTTAGCTCAAAACCAAAACATAAAGTGTAACAGAGATGGATGTAAAGTCCATTATTTAGGCTCAAAACTCAGCCACTGACATTTAGAATTAGAGATTCCCTGTTTGGTTCCAGTTCATATAAACTATTTCATTGACCTCATGCTAAAAATGAGTGAACAGCTTTTCCGGTTTGCTTTAAATATTAGGTGCACCCCCAGCACTGGTTAACTTAGCTGTTCAGTGATTACATCAATGACCCCAGTTTGTTTGCCTGCTTGCTTGCATGTTTATTTTGTTTTGTTTTGTTTTTAACACATTTCTGTTCTGTTAGCCTTAATTTGTCCTCTTGGCTTTCAGGTTAGTTCCCCTCATGGTCATAAGATAGCTGCCGCAGTTCCAGCCATCACATCTCTGCACACATTTCTAATAGAAGAACAGGCCAGCCCTTTTTGTATCTCTTTAAAAGAGAGGAAACCTTTCCCAGAAGCCCCTACTGGGTTTCCTCTCTACCTTGTTAGCTAGAATTGTGTCACACGCTCATACACTTGCCTAAATTATCCACTGGGAAGAGAAATGGGCTCACTACAACTCGTTGGACCAGTTATGAAGGAGGGTGAGCACTTAATTAAAATCAGGTTCTCTAGCCTGGGTAACATACTGAGACCTTGTCTCTACAAAAAAAAAAAAAAAAAAAAATTAGCCAGGTGTGGTGGCAGCTGTCTGTAATCCCAATTACACAGAAGGCTGAGGCAGGAAGATCGCTTGAGCCTGGGAATTCGAGGCTGCAGTGAGCTATGACCATACCACTGCACTCATGCCTGGGTGAGAGTGAGACCCTGTTTCTAAAAAGGAAAAATAAATAAAAATACAAATGATTAGGTAACCAAAAGTTCCTGCTCTAAAGGTAATGGACTCTCCATCATTACAAGCATTCAAGTAAGGACTGAACAAAACCTGTCAGAGGTATAAAAGGAGATTCTTGCAATGGGTCAGAGTTGGATGTGACGACCCTGAGGTCCTTTTCCATGTAGTTCACATGTATACACATTTCCTCAACAAGGGACCAGCTCAGGCTGTCCCAAGAGACTTGAGTGAAGACACAGGCAAAGACAGCGCAGGGGCTTCCAGGCTGAGCCCAGCCTCCTGCCCACGTGTGGGCTCTCTGGACCCATCCAGGGATGAAATTAACACCCACAGCAACAGACATCGGTGGAGCTGTTGCTGTGTGTGAGGCACAAGGGACCCAGGGAGAACTGGCCATTTGATTTCCAACTCAGAGCTTGCAGTGAAATTGGAGGGAGGAAGACAGGATACATGATGGAACCAAAAAATCATTCTATTTCCATAAACCACATGTGAAAATCAGCCAGATTTCTTACATATAAGTAGAAAAAGTAGTAATCCAAGATCCACACTCAACAACAGATGAGTGGGGACAGGCAGAGGCACTCTGGGGACACTGAGGAAGGACAGTGTTGTTAAAAATAATAGAACTGGGTGCTGCAGTTCAGACTGCAATCCTAGCACTTTGGGAGACCGAGGTGGGAGGATTGCTTAAGTCCAGGAGTTCAAGACCAGCCTAGGCAACACAGTGAGACCCTATCCTATTAAAAATAATAATAGGAGCTGACAATAACACAAAAGTGGACATTTCCAGATGTGATCATATTGTCCTTGTTTGGCCAGTGTCACCAGCATCTGGGCCCCCATTATGGGGCCTGGGTGCCCAGGGAAGTTAAGAGGAGATAAGCTCCATCTGTTCCTGTACATCTCTGCCCACCTCACCTCCGATGAGATTGTTATATCCTTGCTATCTACAAAATAGGACATTACAATGTTTGTTAAAAAAAAAAAAAAAAGTAACTCCCAAATTTCTGAGTTTCCTATGTGTTGGGGCTGGGGCTAAGAACTCTATGTACATCATCTAATTTAATTCTCAGTAACACAGATGATCTCTTGATGTCCCTTTAAAGCTTCAGGGGTCACTTTTAGTATTCAGATAAAAATGGTTTCATTCCGTACAGTCTCCAAGATTCCTAAGCATGGCCAGGACCTGGCATTTTCATGATTCCCTCTCATTCTGATTTCCTCTTCTCTCTCAATCCTGTTCTGACTCAGTTTCTGAGTTCATGCAATTTTTTGGGTTTTTTCTTTTTGTTTTTGTTTGATTGTTTGTTGTCTTCTTGTTGACCTACAGAAGAAGAGATACCAAAACCAGACTTGGGAGACAGGGAGAGTCTAGGAAGGCTTCCTGGAGGAAGTGGCAGATGGGATCTGTCTCATCCTGAATTTTCCCCCAAAATGTTACTAACCTATGGCAGAACTTGTAAGATAATTTTCCTAGAAGTTGGGAGTAACTGGGGAGTAGGAGGGACTTTCTTATAGCCAAACGAGCAACTCGAAATTTAAAAATCAGACCTCTTGCTCTTGCCAGTTCCTGCTGAACCAGACACATCTTCTGGGTTCTGTCTTCAGCCTCTGCCCTCCAATCCCGTGGTTGACTCCCCTCACCCCTACCGCACTCCCCCATTTCCTGGTTCTCATCGCTTCCTGCTGAAATGGCTTTTGTCTTTGGAGCAGTTCAGCCCCACTCCTTGGCCTTCTCTTCCCAGTTTCACTCTGGTGGGTAGAGAGCTTTATCTGACACAATCAGTGGGTCATTTTCCGGAACAAAGATCCCTGTCTCCCTGGCAGCAATGCATGCCTTTCTCTAGAATACAAAAGCAGCTAGAGACACACACTTGACTCACAGCAATGATGAGAAGCAGGGATTGCCATTTACATAAGAGGAGACTGAGGCATAGAGCAGGTAAGAAGTTTGCTGAGGCTGAGGTCTCAAAGCTGCTAAATGGTGACATCTGGATTTGAAATAGGTCTGTGGGCTCCAGACTATCCCTCTTAACTGTGACATGAACTTTCAAAGAGGTGAGGCTTGAAGAAAGCTTGGAGCGAGGGAACAGATGGACAGAGAAGCCCAAGGCGTGAGGCAGAGTCCAAGACCTGCTGAGCCCATGGGAGTGAACCGGGGCAACTGAGGCAGGGAGCCTGGGAGGAAGCCATCACCGAGGCGGGCAGGAGATAAGCAGGTGGACTGGAAAGCAAATTAGGAGGAAAACCTAAGGGACAGTTGGGTCAAATCAAACAGAAGGACTGAGTATGGGGGCTGACAGAGAAGGAGGAATCAGGAATCCTGTCGAGGTTTCTGACCGGCAGCTAGGGAGATGCTCACTGAGATGGTGGCCATGCAGGAAGGCGGGGAAGGGTGTTCAGAACGTGCTCAAGTTCACACATGTGGGGATGGAGATGCTCTTAAGCTGCTGGGCTGTTGCTCCTGAGACAAGCCCACACTGGAGCGGCCAGCAGCCTACAGATTGTAATTAAAGCCACAGGGAGGATGAGCTCACGCAGGGAGAACGCGTGGAGGGAGGAGGTGAGGACTGGGATCCACTCAAGGAGCACTCACAGCAAAGGGGGAGGGTGACCATCGAAGGAAAGCAAGAAGCCAGCCAAGGTCAAAGCCAACGCCAAGGCCGCAGGCACCAGTGGGGCTCCGCCTGGGACCTGAGGCTGGACTTGCCCACATGGCCGAATGCCATGGGAGGCAGAAACGTCCTGAGAACAGCAGTTGGATTTAGAAGTGGTAAGGGGGTGACTGGTGAGGGGACTTGGTGACTTTGTAGACCACTGGTGATGCCACTCAGAGGAAAAACACCTGGAAGACTATTTGTTAAAAAAAAAAAAGTGAATGAGAGAGAACATCAGACAGCAAGGAACACTAATCCTCTCAAGATAGGAGTTGGGGGAGAAAAGATAAGCCGTGATCTGAAGAGACAGCTGGGGCCAAGGGAGAGAGGGTTTTGTTTGTTTTGTTTTAAGTGGGAGAGTTGAGCCAGCAGCTGTGAGCGAAGAGGGGAGGTAGAAAGCAGAGGTGAAGATTCAGATGGAGGCAGAGTTCGCGGCTTAGGAGCAGAACTCTCCCAAAAACACGCTCTGTCAAAAACATCCAAATCAGTAGAAATCCACTAGGAGATCAGGGCCTGACCAGGAGCCATGGTCTCAGGAGGGTCAGAGTAGGATTGAAAATGGCTCCTAGTGGAAGGAATGGCCAGGGGCTGGGAAAGCAGTTCTCAGGAAATACAGTGGCAGCCTGCATCCTTCTGGGCCACCCATGCCCCCCAGCACAGGGGCCACAGCGAAGCTCTCTGCCCACCTCCTGGAGGCTGCTTGTCTGGTCCTTGCACCACCCACATGGGCTGCCCCTGCTGGTTTAGCATGGACCTGGGTTTCTCTCTCCTTATGCTCTCTGGGGCTTACCTGCATGCCTACAACTTCTACCCGAAGTCACCCTGTCCCCTGGCCTGGGTGTGCAGTATCCCAGCTCCTCGCTCCTTGATTTGGAGCAGAAGGTGTCCCAAAGTCCTCACACCCAAAGAAACTGAATTCTTCCTTGAGCCTGCCCTCCCCACAGCCACTGAAAGGTGTCTGCAGACCCAGCTCCTCCAGCCTCTCTTCCACATCCCCAAGCTCAGTGAGTTCCACCAGCAATCCTGTTCCTACACCATGACTACAACGGTGGCCGTGCACTGAGCCCGTGCCACTCACTGATCATTCCTTTATTGAATACTACTGGAGCAGCTACCACGTGCCTGGTGCTTTACTGATTGCTGGGATGCAATGGGGAGCAAGTCAGGTTTGTTCCTGCTGTTGTGTGGCTTGAAGCCTTCCATCTAGCATTGTGCTAGACACTGCTTGTGTCATCCTCTTTATTCCTACAGCAGCCCTGTGAGACAAGCATCACTACCTCCATTTTAGAAAAGAAGAAATCAAGGCCCAACATGATAAGAATTCCACAGTTTATAGAGAGCAGATCCTTAACCTACCATCCCGGGAGGCTCTGCTTCCTGCACCCAGGGTTGACTCAGCTTCTCTAAGCTCAAGTTCCCCAAGTTCTCTTCTAGAGTGATTCCTCTCCCCTCTTCTCTCCACTGGAGGAGAGGGTGCATTGTTTGAGTCTGGAGACCGAGCTCTGAGGCCCGGCTCCTGGATCATGGCTGGGTAACCTGGAATGAACTATTTATTTCATGGCTCAAAGCCCAAGTCCCCTCCTTGGTAAAATGAGTGAGGATGATCCTCCAGGGCCTGCCCTCCCCAGATAGGTGCTGGGGGGATTACATGAGGTCAGAGATGTGAAAGTGCTTTCAGAGGCACCCACAGGCAAGGGGTTATGCTTATGAAAACTTTCTCTAAGCGGAAGCCCTGGCATCAGCAAATTACATATTAACGTGTGTTGAGTCACTACACTTCCTGTCCCAAGCTGTTTATACTGGGAGTGCTTCGCTAGCTGTGTAATGAAAGGGTTTTCCTCTCCTAAAGGAATTTCAGGTGTCTCCTAGCAGGGAGAGGAAGGAATCAGGGGCCTTCCTTGCACCTCTGAAATCATAGCCCAGAGGGCTGAGACTAGCATTTGTTGAGCATTTAGTATATGCCAGGCACTGGGCTAAGCTCTTTGCACACAATACCTCATTTATTTCTCATAAACCCTTAAGATGAAAATGCTATCCTTACTTCACAGATAAGAAAATGAATGTATCTGAAGCCACAAAGCTTTGAAGTGGTGAATTTAGGACTTAGAGCTAGGCCTGTCTGACTCCAAAACTCATGTTTTTCCCAGGAAAAAAAACCCAGCCCTGCCCCAAATCCCTGCCAAAAGCGACCTCCTCCAACTGCAGCCTCAGCACCGCCACTCTGATGCTCACTGGTGTGCCTCCTGCCCACCTTTGCACCACACAAGGAGCTCTTGGAGGACAAAGACTCTGTTGAACTCATCTTTGTATTTCCAGCCATCAGCACAGTGCCAGGGCCAGAGATAGCATCAACGAACATTCTGCCGAATGATTGGATGGTCAAAGAATAACTTTTGCTTAAGGGCAAAATTGTGACTCTCATGCACATAATCAAACTATGTCAAAAATTGTATTTAGTTCATTAATTCATGGGGGAACCAGTAAGATATTACAACTGGTTAAAAGAAAATCTCAAAGAACCTGAAATATAGCTCTCATAGTCTGCTCCGATCATTGTCTGCTCCACCTGCCGTAAGAAAACACCATAGGCTGGTGGCTTACACAAGGGAAATCTATTTCTCACAGTTCTGGAGGCTGGAAGTCCAAGATCAAGGTTCTGTTGTCTGATGGGGGCTCACTTCCTGGCTTGTGTGTCCTCTTGCTGTGGCCTCACACACCCTTTCCTCATTGTGTTATTACCAGTTTTCTGTAACTTCCAGGGCTATAAAATAGCTCAAAGACCATGAAAGCCTGAAAAAAAAACCAGAAGAGTATGCTAGACAAGACACCCAATCATCTTTTTGGTCCATTTCAAAGTCTTTCACTATTCTTCCCTATAGAACGCATCAATGAAAACAGTTGTCTGGGATGCCGCTGGGAGTGTCCACTCCCCCATCCACCCCCAGTCCCATCTCTCTCCGGTTGCGCTTTGTCAAGCTTCTTTCATCACCCACTTCCATCAGACAGTGGGTGGTCCCACAGCTTGGCCCTGAAGCCTTTCAACTGCCAACCAACCCCACCCAGAGTGATATTGACACCCCAGACTCGCACTTACAACTGCCTGTGCAGTATCTCCTTTGTCTGGAGTGGAGAAAGAAGGCTGCATTACAATGTCCTAAATGGAGGGGGCCTCTGACTCAGAACAGCCACGCAAGGGCACAGGTGACCTAGGAAGGAGGGCCCTACAGTGCATGTACTCCCTTGTCACTCACATTGGCATTGGCCCATGGAAGATCTTAGCCCCGGAAAGAGGGTGCCTGACACAGTCTTACAGGAAAGGGGCATCCCCAGGCTGCCCAGACCTAAGGGCTCCTTCACCAGCTAGCAGGGCACCATCGAAAAATTTAAGACCGTGTCAGAAACTGCAGCTGACAAGGGGCCGAGGGTGTAAGAGGAAGATCACGCATGAGAAGGAGGCTCCCACTGGAAAATCAATGGAAAGCAAACCCTGGGATGTCTAAATGCCAAGAACAGTCCAGCTGGCTCATTGGAAAATTCAACCTTGATTTCAGATCCCTTGAAAATCCAACATTTGCTCTTAAAAAACAATTTCTGATGTCTTTATCTGTCTTCCTTTTATGAAAGTCAAGTTCTACCTGCAGAACGGTGTTTGTGATGCAGGTCCACAGTGTTTATCTCTGGAATATCAGTGGGCACAAACTGGCTAAGACCCCAATCAGCCGCTGACAGCCTCACATCTCTAGCCTGCACTAGCAACAGCATCTAACTAGTTCGCTGGCCTCCAGTCTCGCCCTTTAACCCAACCCACAAGGATGCCAGAGTCAGTTTTCCAGATACATTTGGCCTTATCATTTTCCTGCGTAAAGTATTTCGTTGGCTTCTGATTGGCTGCCTGTAAGATAGAGGCCTGTGGTGTCCAAGGTGTTCCACAACTGCCCCCTGCTCACCTCCCAGCCTTGTCTCATCACTCCCTGCTCTCTTCTTTGGGCTCCACCCTCACCAGTTTCTGGGAGTTCTCTGCATGCCCCAGACCATTTCTCCCACCTTTACTCACACCCTTCTTCTGACCAGCTCCTATCCCCTCAGAGATTGGTTCAGGTGTCCTCCCAGTGCTCTCTCTCTGCTCCAGCATACCTCTGTCAATCACCACATCGCTCCTCTATGTTGACAGGTCTGCTTCCCTTCCACCAGAGGATGGGCTCCTTGAGAGCAAGCATCATTTCCCGTACCATTGACTGCTGTCCTCGCAAAATGCATGTCCATCTAGAACCTGGGAATGTGACTTTAATTTGGAAATAGGGTCTTTGCAGATACGATCAGGGTTAACATGAGTTCACACTGGATTAGAGTGGACCCTCACTCCAATACAATTGGCATCCCTTTAAGAAGAGGGAAATGTGGACCCAGCGGCACACGAGGGAGAATGCCTTGTAAAGACAGAGACAGATTGGAGTGAGGCTCTACAAGCCAAGGCATGCCAGGGACTGCCAGAAGCCATCAGAAGCTAGGAGAGAGGTGTGGGACAGATTATTTTCTCGAACCTCAGAGGGAGCATGACTCTGCCATCACCTTGATTCTGGGCTTCCAGCCTTCAGAGCTGTGAGAGAAGAAATGTCTGTTGCTTTAAGCCACTCTGTTTGTGGTAATTAATTACTGCAGCCCTAGGAAATTCATAGAGTTCTTATCAGAGCCCCTAGCCTGGTGCTTGGTAAATGTTGAAAGGGTGAATTAATGGAAGGTCTTACAATACACTGCCTGCCTCACTCCCTGGCCTCAAGTTGTAGCTGAGGAAGGGAGAGAAGACTCGGGACCAGAGGACTCCCTCTGACCAAGGGAGACAGGCTCAGTCAACACATGTTTATTGCATACTTAGCAAGTGCAAACAGCTATACCCCATGTAGTGAATCAGAAACGACTCTCATCCTAACAAAAATGACCTAACGCCATGGATAATAGTATTAGTCCGTTTTCATACGCTATAAAGAACTACCTGAGACTGGGTAATTTATAAAGAAAAGAGGCTTAATTGACTCACAGTTCAGAGTCACTGGAGAGGCCTCAGGAAACTTGCAATCATGGCGGAAGGAGAAAGGGAAGCAAGGCACCTTCTTTACAAGGCAGCAGGAAGGAGAATGAACACAGGAGGAACTACCAAACACTTATAAAATCATCAGATCTTATGAGAACTCACCATTGTGAAAACAGCATGGGGGGAACCACTCTCATGATCCGATTACCTCCACCTTGTCTCTCCCTTGACGTGTAAGAGATTACAGGGATTATAGGGATTGTAATTCAAGATGATACCGGGTGGGGATACAAAGCCTAACCATATCAGTGATGCAGCCATTGTCTGTGGAATGCATTGCCTGTCACGGAGGTCTGGGTGAGGCTCATCTCAGCATGGGTGACGGGGCAGAGCTGCTGAGGGAGGGGAAGATGTTGAGTTTGCAGAAGAGAGGCTTTTAAGGGGACAAACTCCAAACATGGAACAGACAGTGGAATGAAAGAGACGTGTCCCCTGTGGTTCCAAGGCCAATGTTTAGAATTCACAGGAAAACAGATTTAGGCTCAATCTGAGGATGAGTTTTCTAATAGGAGGGAAAGGAAACCAACACTGTTGAGTGCCTGCCCAACGCCAAATAACAGCCCCGCGAGGCAGGTGTTACTCCCTAGGCCCAATCCACAGATTGGAAAACTAAAGAGACCTGCCCTAGATTCCATGGCTGAGGGTGGAGCCAGGATCCAAGCCTAGGACTGCCTGCCTGCAGGTAAACACACCACCCCTGTTCCCCAAAGGCCATGTTGAGTATCCCCAGCTGTCCGTGGTGGAATCCAGAGTCAGGACAGGCTAGATGAAGGTGATCCAGAAATGCTCCAACTTCTGGGAAGGAGGGTGGGCTAAATAACCTTTAAAATCTCCTCTAAGTCCGAGGGATTCACTGGCCACCTTGGATCACAGGGACGATGCTGCAATCACTTTCCAACACCTCCCTGTCAGCATCACAGGGCCAGAATCCACACGTGCCCTCAGCAGCTGGCCCTGAACGTAGACCAGCTCTCAGACATGGAGCTTGCCTGCTGCATCATCTTTTTATTTTTTAATTTAATATTTATTTATTTATTTATTTTACTTTTTTGGGAGAGTATCTCACTATGTTGCCCAGGCTGGTCTCAAACTCATGGGATCAAGCCATCCTCCCGCCTCAGCCTCCCAAAGTGCTGAGATTCTAGGCATGAGCCACCATGCCCGGCCTGCACCATCTTTTTAGCCCACAGAGAAGAACCTTAAGTGGAGAGTGAGTAGATTTTAGCCAGGCAAGAAGGGACAATAATGTTTTTGGAATGGCATCTACAAAAGGCGAGTTGTGAGAGAAAGCATTTTCTGGACAGGGAATGAAAAAGCGTTATCAGTAAAAGGAAGGGAGTAGCAGGAGATAGAGGCAGCCGTAAAGGAAATCAGGTTAGATCTGGAAGAACCTTGCAGGCCAGCTGAAGGGACTGAAACTCATCCTCTACACAAAAGGAAGCCATTGATAACATTCTCATATACAAAATATATAAAGAACTCTAATAACTCAGCAAATAAAAGACCAATCACCGGCCAGGCACAGTGGCTCACACCTGTAATCCCAGCACTTTAGGAGGCCTACACGGCTGGATTGCTTGAGGCCAGGAGTTCGAAACCAGCCTGGCCAAACATGATGTAACCCTGTCTCTACTAAAAGTACAAAAATCAGCCAGGCATGGTGCACGCCTGTAATCCCAGCTACTTGGGAGGCTGAGGCAGGAGAATCACTTGAACCTGGAAGGTGGAGGTTGCAGTGAGCTAAGATCGCGCCATACCCAGCCAAGGGCCTTCCGCTGCCTCCCCAGAAGGGAGGCTGAAGGGTAGCTTGTCCTCAATGGTCCTGGGCGTTGGTTTCTGTTCGTGGTGCATCTGCCTCTGCAGTAGACTACCTGTGGGTGGACTAATCTGTAGTCTGTTCTCCAGACACCGCCACCCCGTACGGTTGTGCAGATTGTACTGTGTACAGATGGGGCTTCTGAGATGGTGAAAGGAACTGAAATCCAGCCTGTGCTCTCATCAAAAAGCAAAGGCATCTTGTAGAGGCAGCAGCCCTTACCACTCCCCCAGCCCCTCTGACACAGGTCCCACTTCCTAGGCCAAGACTGGGGCAAGGAAACCAAGGCACCCACCGCAGGCACAGAATGTGAGGTCTAGCCCCAGAACTCAGCAATTGGGCTGGGTGTGGTGGCTTACACCTGTAATCCCAGCACTTTGGGAGGTTGAGGCAGTGAGACTGCTTGAGCCCAGAAGTTCAAGACCAGCTTGGGCAACATAGCAAGACTCCATCTCTACAAAAATTTTTAAAAATTAGCCACACATGGTGGCACGTGCCTATAGTTCCGGCTACTTGGGAGGCTGAGGCAAGAAGATCCCTTGAGCCCAGGAGTTCAAGGCTGCAGTGAGCCACAATCACACCACTGCACTCCAGCCCCAGCAACAGAGCAAAACTCTGTCTCTAAATCAATTAATTAATTTTAAA